GCAGCAGGAGGAGGAACTTCAAACCCTCCCCACCCTGTCATCTGCTCGCCGCCACCAGCCCACGCACCAGGTGGACCCCGGCTCTCTCCCACCAGCACAGCCAGCGAGCTCCTCTCCTCCCCCCTCACCCTGAGACACAGTAGCAGCCGCCAAAAGCCAAAGGCGCCAGCTGCTGCTCTCAGGGAACTTCAGCACCAGAGCCGGGAACAGCTCCTCAGCCCAGGGTGAGCTGGGCTCGGCTCTCTGATGCTTTTTAAAATTGCTCTCTGGTTCTTCTCACAATTTCCCTCTTCTCCATCACATTCCCGGTCTTGTTTCTCTCCTTGCACATGTACAGGTCCCTGCATTCTGTCCGTGACCTTCTTTCTACACTGGGCTGTCTTCTGTCTAGACTGCTTTGTCACCATGATGTCTGCGAGCTCTTATCTGGCACGGTGAATCCCTCTTCTTTGAACTGCTTTTTCAAAATTTGTTTAAATTTGACTTTTATCCTTTTGTATGAGCCCCTGCGTTCCTTAGCTTGCTTGGGCTGCCATAACAAAGCACCAGAGGGACGTCTCTGGCAGTCCAATGGTAGGCTCTGTGCCTCAATCCTTGGTTGGGGATCTAAGATTCCACAAGCTATAAGGCACAGGGAAAAAACAGTACCACGGACAGGCCGGCTTAGACACCAGAAATCCATTTTCTCACAATTCTGGAGCCTGGAGTCTGAGATACGGTGTCAGCAGGGCTGGTTTCCTCTGAGGCCCACGGCCATGGCTCATACCCAGCCGTCCTCATGGTGTCACCCCCCGGTGCATGTCTGCGACCCAATCTCCTCTTATCTCCGCTTGCAAAGACACAAGTCACGTTGGGTCAGGACCACCCTGATGACTTCATTTAACCTTTTCTCACCTTTATAAAGATCCATCTCCAAATATAATCACATTCTTAGGTGCTGGGGACAGGACTCCAAAATATGAACAGTGGGGCCACAATTCAGTCAACAGTAGGTTCCTTTAAGAACCGCCGAGATTCTTACTGGAACTGCACGGAGTTTAGGGGTGAGAGTGCAGGAGGCCTCTCTTTCTCCCTTGTTCATGCAGGTCTTCCTTTATGTTCCTTAATGAGCTGCTTATTTTCGCCATAAAGATCCTTTGCATTCTGGGAGGTTTTTTATAGAGTGCTTTGTTACTGTGGATGGCATTTTATTTTCTACTATTTCTTGTTTTGGTAGAGACTTTCTGTTTTATCTGCCATCAGATACTCATGCGGCTGCAGTCATAAAATATGAAGGTAGCAATCTCTTGAACCAACGGGGCCCAGCAGTCAGGCTGCGGGCACTGCAGGGCCAGCAGAGCGGCCCCACTGAGGATCCTGGACCCAGAACGCCCCTCCCCACCTTCCGCCTGCCCTCTGGCCTGCGTGTCCAGCCTGCAGTCCTCAGAGGGCGGCAGCAGCTCCCGACAGCTCCCAGCACCAAGGCCACAGTCCCGGGTGGGGGAAGGGGAGGGGAGACGCGCAGGCTCTGCTGGCCCCTCCTTGGGGAGCAGAGCCCCGCCCAGCACCCTCGGAGCACACTCTGGTTCCCCAGCTCTGCCCAGTAGAGTGTTCCCCAGTTCACGGCATTGGGGGTGAGCGGCCAAGCACAGAGTCCACAGCTTCTTCAGGGCACGGCTGTCTCCTGGGCTCAGGCCTGTGATCAACAGAAGTGGTGAAGGTAGGAAGCGTTCCTTGCTCATGTTTTTTGACAAAACATATTTAAAGGCTCTCCACTAAATATGAAATCTGCTGAGGGTTTATCTGAAATACAGCTTTAATCAAGTTTAAAAAGTCATTTCTATGGCTAGCTTTCTTGGCCTTTTTCCCCACAAATGAATGTTGATGGAAATCAAGTCAAATCACATAACAACATGTAAGTATATCAAATCAACGTGTTGGACATCTTAAATTTACAAAATGTTACATGTCAGTTCCACTCAGTTCCATCACTCAGTCGTGTCTGACCCTTTACGACCCCATGAACCACAGCACGCCAGGCTTCCCTGTCCATCACCAACTTCCGGAGTCCACCCAAACCCATGTCCACTGAGTCGGTGATGCCACCCAACCATCTCATCCTCTGTTGTCCCCTTCTCCTCCTGCCCTCAATCTTTCCCAGCATCAGGGTCTTTTCAAATGAATCAACTCTTCACACCAGGTGACCAAAGTATTGGAGTTTCAGCTTCAGCATCAGTCCTTCCAATGAACACCCAGGACTGATCTCCTTTAGGTTGGATTGGTTGGATCTCCTTGCAGTCCAAGGGACTCTCAAGACTCTTCTCCAACACCACAGTTCAAAAGCATCAATTCTTCTGCACTCAGCTTTCTTTATAGTCCAACTCTCGCATCCATACATGACCACTGGAAAAACCATAGCCTTGACTAGACGGACCTTTGGTGGCAAAGTAATGTCTCTGCTTTTTAATATGCTGTCTAGGTTGGTCATAACTTTCCTTCCGAAGAGTGTCTTTTAATTTCATGGCTGCAATCACCATCTGCAGTGATTTTGGAGCCCCAAAAAATAAAGTCAGCCACTGTTTCCACGGTTTCCCCATCTATTTCCCATGAAGTGATGGGACCAAATGCCCTGATCTTAGTTTCCTGAATGTTGAGCTTTAAGCCAATTTTTTCACTCTCCTCTTTCATCAAGAGGCTCTTTAGTTCTTCACTTTTTTACGTGTCAAATATATTTCAATTTTTAAAAAAGACATTTAAAAATTAAGAAAATGCTCTTTTTTGCTCAAGCCTTTGGCACATTTTCATCCTGCTGGGAAGCTCCGAGCCACTGATGAGACCAGAAGGGGCCTGATAAGCAGGACCAGAAAACGCAGGGCGCAGCGGGGGCCGCCCTCACCGAGCTCCTGCACACGGGAGCTGCGCTCCAGAAAGCAGGGGCTGAAGTCAAACAGCCAGATTTTGCATTCAGGATGCGTGTCAGGGTTCAGTTAACGAAGAATCGCAGAAGAACTCAGCTTTTATACTTAATGGTCGTTGTTTGATTTTATTGAGGAAAACGACGAGGGGATGTTTGCTAGATTTCGTCACAAAGGTCATGCTGTTGGTGACATTACTGGAGTCGGCGTGAAGGTCATCAAATAGCCAACATCTCTCTTTTGGCCTTAACTCAACATTCACAGGAGAAGGCGATGGCACCCCACTCCAGTACTCTTGCCTGGACAATCCCATGGACGGAGGAGCCTGGTGGGCTGCAGTCCATGGGGTCCCTAAGAGTCGGACACGACTGAGTGACTTCACTTTCACTTTTCACTTTAATGCATTGGAGAAGGAAACGGCAACCTACTCCAGAGTTCTTGCCTGGAGCATCCCAGGGACGGCGGACCTGGTGGGCTGCCGTCTGTGGGGTCGCACAGAGTCGGACACGACTGAAGCGACTCAGCAGCAGCAGCAACATTCAGAAACTAAGATCATGGCATCTGGTCCCATCACTTCATGGCAAACAGATGGGGAAACAGTGGAAATATTTAGAGACTTTATTTTCTTGGGCTCCAAAATCACTGCAGACAGTGAGTGCAGCCATAAAATTAAAAGATGCCTGCTTCTTGGAAGAAAAGATATGACAAATCTAGACAGCATATTTTTTTTCCATGTCTTCAAATAAGGTTTTTTTTTTCATTTATTTTTATTAGCTGGAGGCTAATTACTTCACAACATTGCAGTGGGTTTTGTCATACATTGACATGAATCAGCCATGGAGTTCCATGTATTCCCCATCCCAGTTAAACAGCATATTAAAAAGCAGGAACATTATTTTGCTGACAAAGGTGCATATAGTCAAAGCTATGTTTTTTCCAGTAGTCATGTATGGATGTGAGAGTTGGACTGTAAAGGAAGCTGAGTGCTGAAGAATTGATGCTTTTGAACTGTGGTGTTGGAGAAGACTCTTGAGAGCCCCTTGGACTGCAAAGAGATCAAACCAGTCAATCCTAAAACAAATCAATCCTGAATATTCATTAGAAGGACTGATGCTGAAGCTCCAATACTTAGGCCACCTGATGCAAAGAACTGACTCACTGGAAAAGACTCTAATGCTGGGAAAGACTGAAGGCAGGAGGAGAAGGGGGCGACCGAGGATGAGATGGTTGGATGGGATCACTGACTCAATGGACATGAGTCTGAACAAGTTCTGGGAGATGATGAAGGTCAGGGAGGCCTGGCGTGCTGCAGTCCATGGCAAGGCAGTCACACACAACTGAGCGACTGAACATCAAAAACAAAGGGAAGAAGAAAGGACCAGGATCCTGTGTTGATAGTGAAGGCACGATAGTAATACATTTTCATAGTCAAAAAACCCAAAAAACCAAACAGAAGTGAAATGTGCTGTCTTCTTTTTCTAAGAAAATCATGAGTGCTTTTCTCCCTTTGTGCAGCAATAGGTAAAGTGTGTCCACAGACAAAACTGCCTGGACCTGAGCAGTAGTGACCTGCTTTTAATGTACTGTTGGGCTCAGTGGCTAATATTTGTTTTTATGTTTTGGTTTTTTGGCCATGAGGCATGTGGGATCCCAGGTCCCCAAATAAGGGTCGAAACTTCACCCCTGCATTGAAACGCAGTCTTCCCACCAGGGAAGTCCCAGTGGCTAGTATTTTATTTGAATTTTTCATGTTAATATTTAAACATAAAACAGTCTAAATTTTTTCCTATGCTTCCCTCACATCTCTTAACAGAAAAGGCTTAGGGCCTTGTGAAAGGGTTCATTAGCCTCATTCCACGGCTCCTCTTACAGAGTGCCCTTGACTCTCCTCCGAAGCAGGAGTCCATCAGACTCAGAGTCCAAAACTATGCCCTTTCTCTTATATCTGCGTCTTGTTGCTGTTCATCCAAAAAAGATGTCCTTCACTTTGTAATTCAGTCCTCCTGTGGCTTTTTACAACCTTGTTTTCTTACTCTTTCTTAGTCTCAACTTTTGTCAGCATCCTGTTCTTATACAAACACAGTATCTCCCCGTCTTTCTGAGCCTATGGATTATTTTTGCTTTTTTAGGATTTTCTCTAATTCCTCAAACTTCTTGAGCCTTTTCCCCCTTTTCTCTGCTGTGGTCTTTATTGCGTTGCAGACTTTCCTCAAATGTCTGATAAACGCCGGCTGCCATTTAGGCTTTCACACGACGGCTGTCTGGGAGGTGCCGGGCAGGACCCTTGAGCACGAGGGGGCAGGGATGTCCCTGCGCTGGGGGCCCTCTGAGCGCAGGTGGCAGAGAAGGTGCCCGGTGTCAGCTGCGGCACTGGCCGACGCGGGAGGCCGAGGGTCACGGGCCCCTCACTGCCTCCGGGCCCACCGGCCCGCTGCGCTCCGGGCTCCGTGCAGTGGAGCCATGTGAGCAACTGCTCCCGACTGGCGGTGCCGCAGGAGAGGGGCCAGGCCCGGGCCTGCCCTGGGAAGCAGGTCCCTGCGGCCAGGAAGGCGTGTCATGTCTGCTCCCAGGGCCGGGAGGGGGCAGTCACAGTCAGACCCCATGGGCGAAAATAAGACAAGGTGGGCTTCCAGGGGACACGCCGGAGCGGGGGAAGGGCGCTGAGAGGCCACAGCAGTGTCCGTCCCCGCAGGCCCCACGCGGCATCCTGATCTCGTCGGAGAAGTGCCCTTGTTTCCTGGAGGTGAGCAACTCGCAGCGGCTGTTCTGTGCGTGGGACCCGGGAGTCCACCAGAGGATTCGAGCTGGGGACGAGCCCCGCCCCTCCCAGCGCATAGCCACAGCAGCCCGAGGCCTGGTGCCAGCAGGCAGCTCTCAGCCGCGGCCCTTCTGGCCCAGGGGGCATTTGACACCAACAGGACCTGAGCCTGCCCAAGACAGCGTGGGACGCAGCTGAGCCTTCAAGGACCACGAGGATCTGATGGAATGTAGACAGACGGTGTCACAGAGGCGCTCTGCATCCCGGGGGTAGGGGGTGGGCTGTGTGAGAGGGCGGGTGTCCCCAGGGGGAGCGGCTCGACGGGGGGGGGGGGGGGGGGCGGAGGCCTAGAGTCTGGGGTTGGGAGCGGGCGGGGAGGAGACTCGAGAACAGACAAACTTTGGGAAGCAAGACGGAGCCAGACCCAGGGGTCCAATCCGACGGGACCTAGAGGCCCGCTAGCTGGAGCAGTCGGGTTACAGGTGGTGGGGCCGCCTGCAGGGCCCTGGAGGAACCTGAGCAGTAGCCCCTGGAGGCGGGAAGAGGGGTCCCGGCGCCCCTTTCCCAGGCCTGGAAGGGGGCCTGCTAGGGCCGGTGCTGCTCAGGGTCTGGGACGCCCTGGAGCCCTGGCGAGCGGTCCTCTCCTCTCTGGAGAGGAGCCCGTGTCTGGAGACGGTGTGGGGGAGATGGGGCTTGGAGTGGCGGGGGACGGAGTGTGCGAAGTTGGGGGGAGGACGGATGCGGTGGAGCTGGGGGAGCGAGGTGCTGAAGACAGCGGGGCTAACTGGTATCGGGGGACCAGTCAGGATGAGGGTGCGCAAGGGATGGAGGACCGGGCAGCGAGTGGGGGGGTGCTGGGCAGAGAGGGGCTGCGCCTGCCAAGGCCCGCCCCTATCCCCTCCCGCCCTTCCCGGGGATGAGCCTCCGCGTCTGCCTGCCCCACGCCGAGGGCGGAGCCCGCACGCACATCCCCGCTCAGCTCGCGGCGCCCGCCGGGTCTCCGCCACAGCCCCCATCCGCTTTGGCCGCAGGTTCTGCCCGAGGCCCACGGCTGGTAAGACCAGGCGGGGCGGGGGGGGGGGGGGGAGAGGGAGGGTGTCTGAGGCCAGGAGGCGGGTGGAGCCGCCGCCCGGGGGGTCGCCTCTGGTCCCCCGCCCAGCTGCGAGCCAGGCGGTAGCGGGAGGGGTGAGCGCGAGGCAGAACGGGCGGGAGGGGGCGCCAGACTGGGCCCCGCCCACGGGGTGGGGCTCGCACCCCGTCTCCGGCCCGGAGCCCCGGGAGGGGCCTGGGAGAGCCGACCGAGGCTCCCTGCTGGCCCCTCTCCAGACCCTCACCTGCATCCTTCGGGCCTCGGACCTGGAAACGCAGCCTCACCCCAGTGGCCGATGGGCCTGCCAGCCCTGGAGGCCCGAGGTGGTCCTTCCGGAGGGGCCCACACATGGAACCCCCTCCCCAGGCCTGAGCGCCCTCAACCGCAGGGGGCTCGCAAGCCCCATTCTCTGCCCCAACTCCACGCCCCACACAGATAACCCCGCTGCAGAACCCTCACCCCCAACCGCCCCTTCCCGGCTATTGAACCAGACCCCCATCCCCGCCCCAGGCCCCAGGCCCTCATCCTCAGGCAGGCCTCCCCCCAACCCACTCCCCACTCCTCCAGCAGTCAAGGCCCCCAGGTACCACCCAATGCTGAGCCCGGCCCTGACCCCAGAGCCCCCTGTGCCCAGGCCCCGAACGCCACCCCGCCTCCCCAAGTCCCCTGTCCCCAGGTCCTGAGTGCCCCGTCCTCACAGAGGCTGAGGTCCCCTCCTCCGTCCTGCAGGTTCTGCTCCAGGAACATGAACTGGGCGGCCACCGTGTGCTGGGCTCTGCTGCTAGCGGCCACCTTCCTCTGCGACGGCAGTGCAGCCAAGGGTGGCCGCGGTGGGGCCCGTGGCAGCGCCCGGGGTGGGCGCGGGGCCTCGAGGGTGCGTGTGAGGCCAGCGCCCCGCTACACGGGCTCCTCGATGCGCGTGGCCGCGGGGGCGGCGGCGGGGGCGGCGGCGGGGGCGGCCGCAGGCCTGGCAGCGGGCTCGAGCTGGAGGAGGGCCACGGGGCTGGCGGAGCTCGGCCCAGAGGATGCGGAGGACGGGGCACCTGGTGGCAACGGGACGGAGCGAAGCATCTACAGCTACTGGGCGTGGACCTCGGGCGTGGGGCCCACAGGCCACAGGCACCTCTGCCCGCTGCTAGGCGGAACCCTGGGTGCCCTGCGGCTGCTGCGGCCCTAGGCTGGGCTGGGCGCTTCCGGCCAGAGCTGCCCCCAGCCTGTGCCCTCCTCCCAGGCCCCGCAGCCACCTTAGAGGCTACCCAGCCCTGATCGCCCCTTCCCTCCCCTGCCCACAGCCAGGAACCTAGAGCAGCAGTGTCTGCTCAGAGCTGTGACACCTCCCGCCCGACCCCCTCCCCACCTCACACCCTCCCAGGGGGCCGGCACCCAGCAGCTCCAGGATACCCTGCCTCCCGGTTGGGGTTTCCCCCCTGAGCCAGGACGGGAGGTGTCCTGCTTTTCCCGCACTGGTCCACGCTGGCCGGCGCCCACCACTCCACAGGCTGTTCAGGTCACCCCAGCTCCTCTGAGCCCACCCTGGACACTTGAGAGCTGTGGGCGGTGCTGACCACTGGGCAGGGAGGCGGGCCCTCAGGCTGGGCTGGTTCTGCCACAGCCGAGGACATGGTGCCCCCCGTCCCCCCACACAGGCAGCCCCAGGGACTGAAGGACTTGAGGAAAAGCGCTGGTCACACATCCAGAAAGGAGAGAGGTACGTCTGTGGACCTGTGAGCCCAGCATGGCCCGTTCTCTGGACACTCCCAGAACACCCTCACCCAGAGCCTTGCCCTGCCTGTGGCCCCTGGGTCACATTCTTCTCTGGGCAGACATTGCAAGACCCACTGCTGGGGGAACCAGGGGAACATGGCCCACAGCGGCCTCTGAAGATGCAAGGTTTGCCTCTGGCTCCCGAAGCCCAGGGTGAGGCAGTCGTGCCTCTCAGGTGCCTTTCCCTCCAGCTGCTGACCTGCTCCACAGGCGTGGGCCCAGCTTGGGCCCAGGCTCGCCCGCACGTCCCCTGGCTAGAGGAGCCCCGGGCCTCGCAGGACGGCTCCAGCCCGGCTCCTGGTCAGTCAGGCACCGCTGCGGGTGCCGGGGCCTCGCACGTCACAGGCCTGCCTCCAGAACCTGCCCTCGCCTGCCCCGCGCCGCGAGCCTGTGCTCAGCTGACGGATGCGTGTCCAGACCAGCATCTCCGGGAGCCCTGCCACCTCTGCCTTCCCAGCTGGCCCTCAGCTCTGGTTGCAGTCAGGGTCTCAAATTAACCACGGGGCCTGGACCAAGCCTTTCTCTCCAAAGACCCAGGCGCCAAGCTACAGGACACAGCGCCCTGGAGCCTCCTGCGTCCACACTGCCAGCATTCTCGGGTGCAGTGCCCAGATGCCCTCATCCTCACAGACTGAGCTCCGGGCTCCGCAAGACCAGCGGGGGGTGGCTGAGCCCAAGCCAGGGCCGCAGAGGCAACGTTTGAAGGTCTTAAACAGGAGGTCCCATCAAGGCAGCTCCTTGGTGACTCAATTCTCCCTGACGGCCGGGCTGAGCTGTGCTCAGCCTCAGGCGCCCAGGACACAGACTCCGGCTGGTCCAGACCCTCTCTGCCTCTGCAGCGTGCACCGCCAGCACAGTGGACGTGCTGGGAACACCACTCGTGTCCAATGATCCCACTCCACAGCCCAACTTCAGGAGGGCTCGGCATGTGCAGCCACACATCCCTGAACGCTTCCCACCCCACGGGGCAGGGTTCCAGCAGGAAGCAGGCAGCGCTCAGGGTAGACAGCCTCAGGACTGGTGAGTGTGCTGGGCAGGGGGGCAGGCAGCGCTCAGGGTAGACAGCCTCAGGACTGGTGAGTGTGCTGGGCAGGGGGGCAGGCAGCGCTCAGGGTAGACAGCCTCAGGACTGGTGAGTGTGCTGGGCAGGGGGGCAGCAGGACCTAGAGGGCTGAGGGGTGTCGTGGCGGAGGCTCCGGGAAGGTCGCACCACCACTGGACACAGAAGAGCTGGAGCTGTGACCAGATGCACGCCCACGCTCAGCACCCTTCCCTCCCCGCCCTCTTCCAGAAGTGCAGGCTGTGGTGGTGACCTTCCTGCCCCTCAGGCGTGAGCACAGCTACGCCGGGCGCCATCTCATTAGCTGGAAGGTGCTCAGAGGCGGCAGGAAGGCTTGAGGTCTCCACTGACTGCCCTGGTTTGTGCACAAGCCGGGCTGTGAGCAGATCGGCCTGGGCACCAAGGGGATTCTGCCAAGGCTTCTCGGGAGTGTGTGTGTACGCTTCAGTGGTGAAATAAACTCTGCTGCCAACTAGACGATCCTTATTGCAGGGCCAGGACACTCAGGAAGCGGACGCACGAGCCCATGGGTGCTGAGAAGTTCGTGTTGTTTTTCTTGGCAAGGGGCCGGCAGGTCTGCACAGTAAGAGGGGCGACCCCGCAGCCTCCTGTGTCCACGCTGCCGGCATTCTTGGGTGCGGCGCCCAGATGCCCTCATCCTCACAGACAGAGCTCCAGGCTCCGCAAGACCAGCGGGGGGTGGCCGAGCCTGAGCCAGGGCCCCAGAGGCAATGTGACGGTTTGAAAGTCTTAAACAGGAAGGCCCAACAGGGCAGCTCCTGGGCAACTCAGTCCTCCCTGACGGCCCCAGCCAAGCTGTGCTCAGAGACGGGCCTTTTAATTTAAAATCTTAAAATTACAGATGATGGTTTCAACTCCTTCTGAGGAAACACCAGCTTCTCCTTAGGAGAGGAGCTGAGAGACACAGTATGAGTGAGTGTCCCCCCAGGCCAGGCGCACGGGACGCCCACCGCCCTGACATCCGCACCCAGGCCTGTCCCTTGGGACCAGGGGCCGGCTGTGGGGCAGGAGGGCTCGGCCTCCTTCCTGGAACAGAGACCCAGTGTGGTGACCAGCGTGGGGACTCTGCGAGTCCAACCCCAGCCGCGGAGCCGAGGGCAGGGGCCAGGCCCTCCCGCCAGACCAGCTCACGGCTCCTCTGCGGGGCGGCCCTGCAGGAGGTCGAGGTCCAGCATCGCGGGGCCCAGCAGCCCGCCGCGGAAGGCCCGCAGGAAGTCTCGGGCAGCTGCAGGGTAGTCGGGCTGGATGACGTTCACGTCCCCTGGGGAGGCAGGAGGCTCCGGTGAGGAGGGAGCCCCACGCGGGGCCCAGCCCACCCCCCTCAGGCCCACGCAGGCGGGCATCTGCACAGGACATTCGGGAAAAACACCTGAATTCACAAAAATGAGGGCATTGCAGGCTGGAGCTTCCTCCCCTCTGCCCTGGGCCCAACCCCCGCCCGGCCCGGGGCTGCCTGTCTCACCTGTGCCTGTCAGCACCTTCACCTTCTGGGTCTTCCTCAGCTTCACAGCCACCCGCTTTAGCACGCTGGCGATGTCATCACAGGCCTCGCCCAGGCCGTAGTGCTGCACGTACCTGCGTGCGGGAGGCAGTCACTGGCTCTCCGACGACCCCTTCTTGGGTGCCAATGACTGCCTTGCAGAGCTGAGGGCCTCACCGACACCCACCTTCCACATGGCCACAGCCGGCTGCCCCGAGACCCAGCCACACACCGGGACCCTGGGTGCAGCTGCCAGGACAGCTGACCGTTCGAGGGGGTCTCCCTGCAGACCCTAACCAAAAGGACCGGAGTGTTCCTGATGACAGTCCCAGGGCAGGAATACCAGACACCCGCCACCTGAAGGTCAGGGGCAGAGCTGCCAGGCACACACAGTGGGAAAACAGACCCGTTGGGGGAGAAACCCATCAGCTGGAACCGCCCAAGATGCCAGAATCCAGAGAGACCCTGAGTCAGTTATTAGAACTGCATTCCCTGTGGTTACAAAGCAAAGAACCCACAGAGAAGACAATAAAAAGAAATAATCCAAATCTAACATCTAGAAGAAAACACTATGAAACACACACTGAGGAAATTAAAGCAGCTCGAACTCCACAGGGGACAGGGTGAGGGAGCTGGGGACCCAGCGGCACTGAGCCGGCACTCCTGCAGCCAGAGCAGGTGACAGAGCCCTGCACCCATGGTCAAAGCCTGGTGACAGTCCTGGGTGGACAAGGATAGCGGCTGGAATCATCCACACGTGACGCAAACTGCACGGCCTCGGGGGTGAGGATCAAGGGCTGAGTACAAGCACAAGAAACAAGAAGAAACCACGCCAGCGCCCAGTGTCATAAACTGCCCAGACGCTTGACAGAGAGAAACCTCAGCAGCCAGAGCGTCAGACGTGGAGAACAGACCCTCGTCAGAAACCGCTCCTCTGCAGACAGTCCATCCACTTAGAACTCCACCCACAGGGCTAACTCCCTTCAAAGCGGAAGGTGAAATGAACAAGTCCTCAGACAGCAGCTGCACGGCCACCAGCATCACAGGAAATCCTCGACAGGGAGACGGCCCCAGAGGGCAGGGGGCCCACACCAGGCAGGACATGACCTGCGAGGCTCAGGGCAGACCACCAAGACTGAGTCTTCACTTTACGTCCATGTTTTAAGAAAGCGCAGCAGCATGTCTGCCGAAAAGAACAACACGTGTCACCAGACTGGCCCAGAGGCCAGGTCCGCAGACTGGAAAGGCCCTCAGGCCACACGGCGCTAACACCACCCAGACGTCCTGCAAACCCTAGAGCCACCTTCGCCCACGTTCTAGGTCACAAGCTGACAAAAGGGAATCATGAAAAGCGTCTGAGGGACTTCCCTAGTAGTCCATGGGCTAAGACTCCACACTCCCGGTGCAGGGTCTATCCCTGGGCAGGGACCAGATCCCGCAAGACACAACTAAGAACAGTTCGCATGCCGTGACTAAAGGTCCTGCAAGCTGCAACTAAGACTTGGCACAGCCAAGTGAATTAAAGAGAAGGTATCTGACTAATCTAAAAAAGGCCGAAGAGACAGACGAAGAGAGGCACGAAGAACAGTTGGGACAAAGGCAAGATGACAGATGTAAACCTAACATCAGTGACCACGTCAGACATGAATGGTCTAAATACCTAAAATAAAAGAAGAAAAGGTCAGACTGGGTGAAAAGCAAGGGACAGCTACATGCAGCAATAAACATATTTTAAATGTAAAGACACAACAGCTCAAAGTAAAGCGACCAGGGAGAGGAACACATGAGGGAGATTTCAGAGTGGAGACTATCCTGTCCAGGATAAAGGAGGTCACGTCCTCAAGTCACCAGGAGAACACAACGACCTCCCCCCGATGCAGAGGCTGGAAACACGTGAGCAGGACCAGTGGTGGGGGGAGAGCCCATCTCCTGCCCATAACAGTAACAGGAAGACAATCAGCAACGTGGAAACAAAGGAGGAACACAGACCGGACAGCAATCAACAAAACAAAAACCAGAGATCAGAAAGTGGAAACCAGAAGCCAGTTCTGTGGGGAAAACCAAAAACCTGACCTGACGTCCTCAGGGTCATAAAGGACATCTCCGGGGCCTGCAGGACACACGCACTCTCACCATCCTCGCTGGTGAGGGCAAACCGACTAGACATCTGCACGATGACCGTCTGCGCTGCCCACTGTGGGAACACGCGTGAACCCAGCGACGGGTGCCCAGCCAGGGGGCCCCTGCCAGGCAGGGAGGCTGCACGCGTGGCTCCACTGTGAGACTCCAGAAGGCGGCAGGAAGCAGGTGGGGCAGGGAGGGGGTTACACAGCAGGACAAGAAACGGGGTTTCCTGGACAGTGTAACGGCTTCACATTACTTTGCCAACAAAGGTCCGTCTAGTCAAAAGCTATGGTTTCTCCAGTAGTCATGTATGGATGTTGAGAGTTGGACCATAAAGAAGGCTGAGTGCCAAAGAATTGATGCTTTTGAACTGTGGTGTTGGAGAGGACTCTTGAGAGTCCCTTGGACTGCAAGGAGATCCAACCAGTCCATCCTAAAGGAGATCAGTCCTGGGTGTTCACTGGAAGGACTGATGCTGAAGCTGAAGCTCCAATACTTTGTCCAGCTGAAGCAAAGAGCTGGCTCATTTGAAAAGACCCTTATGCTGGGAAAGACTGAAGGCAGGAGGAGAAGGGGACGACAGAGGATGAGATGGTTGGATGGCATCACCGACTCAATGGACATGAATTTGAGTAAACTCCGGGAGTTGGTGATGGACAGGGAGGTCCAGCACTGGTGTGCTGCAGTCCATGGGATCGTAAAGAGTCAGGCACGAAACCCTAAAGACTCTACCAGAAAATTACTAGAGCTAATCAATGAATACAGTCAAGTTGCAGGATATAAAATTAACACACAGAAATCTCTTGCATTCCTATACACTAACAATGAGAAAACAGAAAGAGAAATTAAGGAAACAATACCATTCACCATTGCAACAAAAAGAATAAAATACTTAGGAGTATATCTACCTAAAGAAACAAAAGACTTATGCATAGAAAACTATAAAACACTGATGAAAGAAATCAAAGAGGATACAGATGGAGAAATATACCATGTTCATGGATTGGAAGAATCAATATTGTCAAAATGGCTATACTACCCAAAGCAATCTACAGATTCAATGCAATCCCTATCAAACTACCAACGGTATTTTTCACAGAACTAGAACAAATAATTTCACAATTTGTATGGAAATACAAAAAACCTTGAATAGCCAAAGTAACCTTGAGAAAGAAGAATGGAACTGGAGGAATCAACCTGCCTGACTTTAGACTATACTACAAAGCCACAGTCATCAAGACAGTATGGTACTGGCACAAAGACAGAAATATAGATCAATGGAACAGAATAGAAAGCCCAGGGATAAATCCACGAACCTATGGTCACCTTATCTTCGACAAAGGAGGCAAGGATATACAATGGAAAAAAGACAACCTCTTTAACAAGTGGTGTTGGGAAAACTGGTCAACCACCTGTAAAAGAATGAAACTAGAACACTTTCTAACACCATACACAAAAATAAACTCAAAATGGATTAAAGATCTAAATGTAAGACCAGAAACTATAAAACTCCTAGAGGAGAACATAGGCAAAACACTCTCCGACATAAATCACAGCAGGATCCTCTATGACCCACATCCCAGAATTTTAGAAACAAAAGCAAAAATAAACAAATGGGACCTAATGAAACTTAAAAGCTTTTGCACAACAAAGGAAACTATAAGCAAGGTGAAAAGACAGCCCTCAGATTGGGAGAAAATAATAGCAAACGAAGCAACAAAGGATTAATCTCAAAAATATACAAGCAACTCCTCCAGCTCAACTCCAGAAAAATAAATGACCCAATCAAAAAATGGGCCAAAGAACTGAACAGACATTTCTCCAAGGAAGACATACAGATGGCACAAAAACACATGAAAAGATGCTCAACATCACTCATTATCAGAGAAATGCAAATCAAAACCACAATGAGGTACCATTACATGCCAGTCAGGATGGCTGCTATCCAAAAGTCTACAAGCAATAAATGCTGGAGAGGGTGTGGAGAAAAGGGAACCCTCTTACACTGTTGGTGGGAATGCAAATTAGTACAGCCACTATGGAAAACAGTGTGGAGATTTCTTAAAAAGCTGGAAATAGAACTGCCATATGACCCAGCAATCCCACTTCTGGGCATACACACCGAGGAAACCAAATCTGAAAGAGACACCTGCACCCCAATGTTCATCGCAGCACTGTTTATAATAGCCAGGACATGGAAGAAACCTAGATGCCCATCAGCAGACGAATGGATGAGGAAGCTGTGGTACATATACACCATGGAATATTACTCAGCCATTGAAAAGAATTCATTTGAATCAGTTCTAATGAGATGGATGAAACTGGAGCCCATTATACAGAGCGAAGTAAGCCAGAAAGATAAAGACCATTACAGTATACTAACACATATATATGGAATTTAGAAAGATGGTAACAATAACCCTATATGCAAAACAGAAAAAGAGACTCAGATGTATAGAACAGACTTGTGGACTCTGGGAGAAGGCGAGGGTGGGATGTTTCAAGAGAACAGCATCGAAACATGTATATTATCTAGGGTGAAACAGATCACCAGCCCAGGTTGGGTGCATGAGACAAGTGCTCGGGCCTGGTGCACTGGGAAGACCCAGAGGGATCGGGTGGAGAGGGAGGTGGGAGGGGGGACCGGGATGGGGAATACATGTAAATCCATGGCTAATTCATTTCAATGTATGACAAAAACCACTGCAATGATGTAAAGTAATTAGCCTCGAACTAATAAAAATAAATGGAAAAAAAAAAAAAGTCAGACACGACTGAGTGACTGAACTGAACAGATTCACAGGTGTACTCACATGTCACAACGTAGCAGACTGTACACATTAAATGACCACAGACTGTCTACAGCACCTTGACAGTGCTGGCTTTCTAGTTATGTTTGGTGGGGACAGGGAAGAGGGCCCGCCCCTGCACTCACCCCAGGAGCTGGTGCCTGTTGAGAGTGTAGAGGAGGTAGTCAGCCATGGTCTCCTCGCCCACGAGGTGGTCCAGTATGGTTCCTGGGAACAGGCAGCGGAGGGTGAGTGCTCAGCTTGCTCCCTGCCCTCCGCAACCCAGCAGTCAAGTGGGAGGAGGGAGCCCCCTCCAGAGTAGGCCAGGAGGCCCAACGGGCTCAGAGGGTGCCAGGAGTGTCAGCTGTGAGCAGCCAGGCCAAGCACACACCGCCCAGCCTGGGGGCCTGGGAGCCTGCTGTGGGGGTGGGGGTCGGGCTCACCACACAGGGCCAGTTTCAGGCCTGTCTCCACGTTTGGAATCCGAGGAGCCAGCACCCCGGGGGTGTCGAGCAGGAACATCAGCGGCCGCTCACACACCTGTGGGCAGAGGGTGGCCAGCTGGCCTTCTGCCTGAGGCTCAAGGAGGCCCTGGAACCTGCCCCCCAGAGTCGTCACTGCCACCAAGCTCTCAGCACCCCCACAGGATGCCACTGCTGAGTGGAGAAGGAATAAGGGCAGGAGCTCGCCCCGGAGGACAGGCTCCGCCCTGGTCCTGCGTGCCCCTGGGATCGGAGACACCTGAGCCCCGGCCCAGGCTCGGTGTGAGGACAAGGCGCTACCTGAATCCTGGACATCACGGCTCTGGTGATCCCAGGCTCGCCACCCACCCTGGCGGCTTTTCCTGCGGGATGAAAGGGAGACGTCAGAGTCTGTCAAACCCCCAGGCAGATAAGACAGATGGGCAGTGATGCACGGGGGAGCCCATCAGGGCCCAGCGAGGCCCCTGCAAGGAGAGAACCGCCTCCCAGGCACCGCGACCCGCGGAGGCACGCCCACGACAACTGGCAGGGCTGCCTGTTGGCATCGCCTTCCTCCCTGCAAGGCCGGCACCGCCCCAGGACCACCCACAACGGCCCATCCCTGGGGCCGCTCCTGACCAGAAAGCCGCCTGTGCTCTCGACACTGGCCGCCCCAGGTCCCAGCTCAGGGCATGACCCTCCCCCTGTGCTGGAGCAACACTCGCATCCATCAGCGCGGACAGGTAAACAAAATGTGCTTCGCCCACACAAAGGAGTGTTACTCAGCCTTAAAAAGGAGGGAAATTATGCCTCATGCTACACCGTTGGACCCTGAAGAGTTAGGTCCATGAAATAAGCCCAGCACAGTTCAGATCCTGTGAGTCCAGGCTCAAGGCACCAGAGGATCAAATTCATACGACAGAAAGTAGACCCGAGGTTCTAGGGGCTCCGGAGGGCAGGCCCACTTGTGTCTGTAGACTGACAGGGTGAGGGTTGCACAGCACTTAATGTACTAACACCAATGATGGCTTTAAAGACACAATTACAGGAAAATAAGCAATAGCTGACTGTAACTGTGCTCCAACTGGCAGCAGAAACAGCCTGAGGTGACATTCCAGCACAGGTCTGTCTGGAGGAGGTTCCCAAAGGACACACTTGTGCAAAACACGAATCAACACAGCCTTGGCGTCAAACATGAACAGGCATGAGACACAGGCCCAGAGAGCCCTCCCCAGGCCCCAGCCTGACGCCTCACCCGCGTTTCCCACACACCCCGAGCACAGCGGGACAGAGAGACAAAGTAAGAGAAGGACAGAATCGCCCACGTTAGAAATTGCATATGTTAAAAATTTAAAGACAGAAAGCGAATGAAGTAAAAATGTATAAGGGAATGACTGTCTCACCAGCTGACTGCATGCCAAGCTGTCAGCTGGGCCTCCTGGTGCCAACAGCGCCCCCAGCGAGTTGGCGTCTCAGGCTCTGGAGGGTCATGCCAGCAGGAGAATCAGTGCCTGCCCCTCCCCCAACTGCAGGAAGTACCTTTCCTGAGGTGCTGCCTCCGCAGGGAGTTGATAAGTGAGGACTTGCCCACGTTGGGGACCCCGATCACCATGATGCAGTATTCCACGTGCTGCAAGCGCAAGGGCAGGGGTTGGGCGCCCACCTAGCCCCACACCCCCACACGCCCGGGGCACCCGCGTGTCCAACAGGGTGAGGCCGCCCCACCCCACCTGCCAAGACCCCGAAGGGGGGGCCAGGGCTGGGCTCAGCAGCTGGGCCCAGGGTCCCAGCAGAAGGGGCGGGCCCTCGGCCGGGCCAGCCCACCACCAACCTCTCCTCGGTGATAGCGGTAGCTGCTCCCAACCAGCTCCGTGACCAGCGGGATGATCTGCAACCAACAACCACCAGGCACCATCCTGTGGGAGCCTGGCCTCCCTCGGCCCCTGGAGGCGGACGCTCCCACCGGCGTCCCACCACCGGCCGGCACGGGTCCACACACATCAGTCGCAGGCTGTGCTCTGGGGAGCTGTGAGGGTGGCCGGGGCCCTGCCCTGTCCTTCCCCAGGAACGAGGAGAGCCCGAGGGGGACAGCAGGCACTGCCACGCCTTCCAAAGACACATGACAGCGGCAGAATTCTCAAACCTGACCGGGAAAACAGGCACAGACCGTCCACGGACTCCTACTTGGGACCAAAGGCGGCTCTCGGCCCGACCCTGCTGTTCCCACCCTAGTCTGCCCGACCCAGGAGGTGACTGTGCCCCAAACCCAACAACACTCTGCTTCCTGAAGAAGCACAGAGAAATCTGTGGTGTTTAACATTTTAAGCAGAAGCCTCAGAGCACAAAACAGAAGAGACCCACCTGCTTGACATTTTCATCCTTCACACAGTTGGTAAAAACAACATGTTTTAGGCCTTCTCTTTCTAAGTGTTGTATAATTTTCTAAAAGAGACAAGACGTTTCCATTTTAAACACTAAATGAAGACATGGACAGCATCATAAGCTAAAGTCTGAGGATCTGCTCATGGGCCAGGGAGGAGGCTGGGCCGCCGGGGCAGATGGCCTGAGGGCACGTCTGAGGAGGGCAGGTCGGCCGCAGGGCACCCTTGCTCTGTGTGAGGACACGGGGCAGGGGCCACACCAGGTCATCCAAAATCACCTGCAGCCCTGGAGACGCAGCGTTGGTCTCCACTCAGTCACATCATCGCTCCTCTCCTCCCAACCAGCTTCCACAAAACAAGCTCTACTTAAACTAAGGTTTGAACCCAACTATGAAGTATATGGAATACTGGAATACTTTAAAAGCCCCAAAGTAAACTGAGGTTAATATGAACTTACTGGCCTTAACATGAAGCAAAATCACTGTATGACTCTTATTTTTACAACCAGTACTGCATTGTTTGAGAGTCCCTTGGACTGCAAGGAGATCCAACCAGTCCATCCTAAAGGAAATCAGTCCTGATTATTCACTGGAAGGACTGATGCAGAAGCTGAAGCTCCAATACTTTGGCCACCTGATGCAAAGAACTGACTCACTAGAAAAGACCCTGATGCTGGGAAAGATTGAAGGCAGGAGGAGAAGGGGACGACAGAGGATGAGATGGTTGGATGGCATCACTGACTCGATGGACATGAGCTTGAGCAAGCTCCGGGAGTTGGTGATGGACAGGGAAGCCTGGCGTGCTGCAGTCCATGGGGTCACAAAGTGTCACATGACTGAGTGACTGAACTGAACTACCTTGTTTGATCAGCTACTGATTTACTTAAAGGAACAAAAAAGTCGCTCATAATTTCAGTTAGTTTTACTGATTTATCATTTGCTGTGATGATGCAGATGAAGGTCAGGCCCACAAAGACTTCGTGAAGTCACACTGCAGGCTGCATACAAATCTGCATGGGACGCCCCCCTCCCAACCTGCAGAGGCAGACACAGGCCCCCCCCCCCGCCCCCCGCCCCCCCCACCCCGCCGAGGGGCTGCTCCCTCCTGTCCTCCCCAGACTCAGTTGCCTCCTGCAGGTAAGATCCGACATCCCCATCAGGCCACCTAATGTGCCCATCACTCCACAAAGATGAGCATTTCGGAGCAGAAGCAATTGCTGGATGCTAAGACCCAAGTCTCAACTAAGAAAAGCAAGTGAAAGCTTGTGATGACAAGGACACCTGCCCCTGGAGTGAAAGCTGGGGTTCTGTCCTCGGGGCAGGAGAGATTCAACTAGAAGCCTTCAGGGAGGTGGGTTCAGATGGGAAATGCCTTCCCCTCGGGCACTCAATGAACAAAGAGCCCTGGGGCTGGAGTGCCTGGGTTTCCCTGCAAACCTTGAGCTACAGGTCTGTGGGTGGAGTTTAAAGAATTCAATGTACCACAGCCGACTAAGAAACCAGAACTGCTGCTTCAAAAGGAAAAGCTACACACACACAAAAGCTGGCTCAATTTCAAGATTCTGACACCTACTCTTTACATTTCTCTTACTCAGGGACATCACCCCTGGACACTGTGTCCCCGTCCAGCAGGGCTCGGGAACACCCCCAGTTGCTTTGGGTCTCCCACCTTCCAGATCACTCAAGGGGCAGCAGGCAGCCCACAGCTCAGACCAGGGGTCTGGGAGGCCATGGGCCTGGCCAGTGAGGACACTGGGAGCCAACGCTGCCACACCAAGAGGCCTCTGGGTCGGAGAGCACTGAGCAGGGTGCTGGTGACCCACCTCAGGAGGCAACTGAAACGTTAGCGAGTGACAGTTCAACAGGATGTAGGCATCCGTACCGCAGCTGCAGCCACATGCCATATGCTCCCAGCCTCGAGGGCCCTGCGGCTGCTCTGTGGCAGCGCCGCTCCTCCCCTTGCCCACGGCTGAACCCCTGCTAAAGGGTACAAATTCTTCGGCCTCTCAGATGACAGGTTAGTCAAAGGCTACTTTGCTAAAGCTGGCAGGCCTGGGCAGACGGGCACCAGGTCCACCCAGAGATCCGGTCAGATTTGAGCCCTACCTGCTGCTCCTTCAGATCTGCAAGGTCCATTTTGTTGAGGACAAGCAAGTGAGGCTTAAGCCCAAGGGTTTCCTGAAACAGAGGGTTTCGGCCTGAAAGTGGGATGTGGCAAAATTAAGGCAAAATTCCATCAACTTGACCAGCCAATTGACATACTTCCCCCTGTCTTGTTATGCAGACTGGACCAGCCTGTAACAAGACACCCTCGGAAGGAAAGGACAGGGTGTAGAAGCCTGTCCGGGAGCAGGAGAGCTCCAGCCAGCCCAACCTCGAGACCGAGCCCGACCCCAAGTCCTGCATTCACTGACCTCAGGGCCACTGAGCCCCTGCAGGTCCCCCGACACGTCCTGTGGACAAGAGGCAGGGCAGCGGCCCTCTCGTGGCTTCTCAAACAGGAACGATGGCAGCAAAAACAAAGCTCAATGGAAGGTTTTGTGACTAGATCACTGTTTAGTTGCCAAAAGATCTGGTCACTCAGGACAAGTGCCTCCCATGAGTCCTAACCAATGTATCTCATGCCACCACCGCCAGCCCCAGGCGTCCTCATGGAGACCTCCCGTGAGCCCACCTCCTCACACCAGGGGCAGCCCCTTCCTATCTCCACCAGGGGCCCCCGGCGCTCACTGTGACACCAGCACATCAGGAGGGGAGGTCTGTATCTGCAGGTCAAGAGTGCTCAGCCCTTCCCTGGTGCCTGTCCCCAGGAGTCCCGAAGCCTCAGCATGCCCCCGTTCCAGGCACCCAGTTAAGCCGCTGTGTCCCCACCCATACAACACAGGGACAACAAAAACAACAACTTACTTTTTCCATAAACAGCACTCTGCCCTCAGAGGTTAAACAAGCCTGAGCTAATTGAGAACACTGAAAGCCTCCAGACTCCCTCAAGAGGCCGTCCTGGAGAAGTCAGGACATCCAGCGAGCAAAGGAGGACGGAGCGGAGGTGCCTCCCCTCGGCACACGGACAGCAACAGCAGGTTTCCTTGTTTTTCAGTAATCAGACACGCAATTGCCAGCAAGCCCTTCTGACTGGCACGAGATATTGTATGAACTGAAACATTTAGCCTACGGTAGAGAAACTGGAGAGTTTTCTCAGAAATTCCAACTAGAGATAGTGATGACTTTCAAACCAACCCATGTGTCTTACAGGGAGCCTCTAAACACAGCTCAGGTAAATACAGCAAAAACAGGGTATGCAAAGCATGCTCATTACTGAGGGAGATGTTTCCCTCTTCCGATGCATCCTTTCGTACAGGACGAAAGCCTGGTTGGCAGCAACTTTCTAATGGAGATTTCATATCCCACCTGGAGCCTGCTACTGCTGTAGTGAGTTGGAAGGCGCGGCTGTGCCAGGCGGAAACCTGAGACAAACAAGCTACCTGTGTGCCAGAGGGGAGCTTCTGGGCCCCACACCAGGGATTCTGACTCACAGGCCTGGAAAGGGGCCTAGACATCAGTATTTTCAAGAGCCTCCCAGGGGGATTCTAATATGTAACAAGGATCAAGAACCACTGCTTTAAATGTCAGTAACTATGACAGGTTGCCCTGTTGGCCATTGTGGGGCTGACTGGACCAGAGCAGGGACCAGGGAAGAAGGCAGATGGAAACAAGGTAACAGCCAGGAATGCTTCTCGGGTCGTGTGCACTGCCCGACTCCAGATGGTCTCCCCTGCACTACAACTCTGCACCCGATCCCAGTGGGGTTAGGGGAGGGGATCCCCTCGGGTCGTGTGCACTGCCCGACTCCAGATGGTCTCCCCTGCACTACAGCTCTGCACCCGATCCCAGTGGGGTTAGGGGAGGGGATCCCCTCACCAAGCAGTTCTCACCACCAGCTGGGGTCCTTCTGTTCAGCGCAACTCTGACTCCATCTACCTAGAGACAGCATCAGACCCCACAGTCTGAGCTCAGGAATACCACCACCCCTCACTTCAAATAGCAACTGCAGTTGAGGTCTGACAGAAAACAGCAAAATTCTGTAAAGCAATTATCCTTCAATAAAAAATAAATTAATTTTAAAAAATAGCAACTCCAAGTCCAGGTTATCACCTGTCACTTCTGAACAACAGGCCCAAATCAAGGGTTCCCAAGACCCTTTCCTGGGTTCTAGCAAAACTAGTCTGGACAGTGGCTCAAGAAATTGAGAGAAACATTTTATTTATTACATTATGATCGGGCTTCCCTGGTGGCTCAGGGGTAAAGAATCTGCCTGTAATGGAGGAGATATGTGCAGGACACCCAGGTTCAATCCCTAGGCGGGAAAGATCCCCTGGAGAAGGAAATGGCAACCCACTCCAGTATTCTTGCCTGGAAAATCCCATGGACAGAGAAGTCTGGCAGGCTACAGTCCATGGTGTCACAAAGAGTCAGACATGACTTAAATGACTAAACAACAAAAATGACACAACTCTGGAGTAGCCAAATGGAAGACATGTGCAGGAGGAAGGCTGGGAAAAGACGTGGAGCTTTCCCCCATGCAGGTGCCTCTGCCTGCATCTCCACCCTCTCAGGAATCTATCCCCACCCCCACCCCCCAACAGCCTGCGGTTTTATAGCAGCTTCATTACACAGGCAGGACAGAGTGAAACACTGGCCTTTGGTGAGTGAACTCAACCTCCAGGCCCTAAGGTGGGGGTGGCAGGGGTAGGACTGAAAGTTCTAATCCTCCCCATAGCAAGGCTGGTTCCCCCAGCAACCAGCTCCCCCCTTAAGTGACCAGGGGTGTTTTCCAAAATCACCTCATTAACACAGCAAGAGACACCTTATCACACTCCTCACTTTGGAAACTCCAAGACTTTCAGGAGCTCTGTGTCAGAACCAGGACAAAGACCAGATAGGTACTGCTTATTCTGAGGACATCACCACCACTGAAGGATATCCGGGCATCATGCACCTCGATGATGCAGTCCACCAGCCTCAGGCTGCTCTGCATCTTCTTCAGCCCTGGAAAACAGAAGAGGGACGCTTCAGGGGAGGATGGGGCCCAGGCCTTTATTACTGAAGCACAGTTAGTTGCTCTATGATGTTTTTAGTTCTCCGGTACAGCAAGGTGAATCAGCTGCACATACACACTGCCCCTCAGCGTCCCCTCACTCAGCCAAGGCCAGTCTTTCAGGCACACCCACAAACATCCCTTGTGGCTGGATCCCTTGTGGTTCAGAAGGTAAAGAGTCTGCCCGCAAAGCAGGAAATGCGGGCTTAACCTGGGTTCGATCCCTGGGTTGGGAAGATCCTTTGGAGAAGGAAATGGCAACCCACTCCAGTGTTCTTGCCTGGAAAACCCCATGGACGGAGGAGCCTGGACGGCTACAGTCCATGGGATTTCAAAGAGTAGGACACTACTGAGCGACTTCACTTTCTTTCTTTCTTTTCCAACAACTCGCCTCCCCCGCCTGCTTCCCGCCCGCAGGCGCCCTGTCCCCCTGATTAGGGGCCGAGGAACTGCGCAGGCCGCGGGCCGCCACCCTCACACCGGGTGGGGCTGGGCCTGCAGGCGCTCTCGGAGCCAAATTCTGAGGAAAGTAAGAACCTCAGAGGGTGCAGGCGAGAGACAGCCAGCTCCATCTACGCCTCAAGGTGCTCAGGTAATTCAACAGCCGACTTCAACCTGGAAAGTGCTTTCCTACCCCTGCCTCATTCCGTCCCCAAATAACGTCCAGGAAATTGTGTCCTTTTCCAAGCAGGTGGGGACAGGGGCTTCGAGCCGAGTAACAGGCCCTGCCGGCGTCAGCCCACGAGCCCGCCCCGCGCTGGACCCGCGAGGAGCCGGGGGAGCAGCGCGCCCCGCCGCGCCTCACCCTTTGCCATGTGGCCCGGAAACCAGCGCGCCACGTCGCGACCTTCCAGAGGGAAGCTCTCCCGCCAGGCCGCCCGCCCGGCGGCGCACAGAGTCCGCGGAAACAGCCTCATGGCTCCGCGTCCCAGGCTCCGCGCAGCACTACGGCCCGCTCCGCCCACGGACCTGTCCGCCCGGCCCGCGACCCCGCACAAGGGTTCCGGCGCTCCACGCGGCCGGCGCTGCCCGCGCATGCGCACGGCGCTGCCTCGGCCTGCAGGAGGCGCTTAGCGGGCGGTTACTGGGGCTGGGGACCAGCACGGGGACAGGGACGGGGGACGGGGACCGGACCGGGGCTGGGGACCGGGGACGGGGACGGGGACGGGACCGGTGGGTCCCCCGGGAGGGCTTCGGGCCGGGCTACGAGCCAGGGGCGCACCCGCGCAGTTCCGGGAGTTCTCAGGGGTCGTCTTCATTAAATTAAAAATCTTGGTTCTTCCTTAACCGTATTCTGAGTGACAAAATTTAGTAGTCCGTTGTCAATTTGGTCCTTTTTACAAACTTGGCTAAAACTTTTCAGATATTTTAAATTTAACTGACAAGTGTAAGATCCTCTTTTTCAAGTACTCTGGATTTTAATATACAAACCCTTTGCAAACACTGCAGTTCTGCTAAATTAAATCTCTGAATACAGTGAGCATGAAATTCTCTTCATTGCACCAATACTCAGTGTAAGTATAGTCAGATTTTAACTTTCTTTTTTTCACTGTGCTGCAGGGCTTGCAGGAGCTATTTCATAACCAGGGATTGAACCCAGACCATGGTGGTGAAAACCCAGAATCTTAAACACTAGGCCACAGGGAAGTCCCCAGATTTCAACTTTAAATCAGGAGCCGGGGCTACTGCTAACTGCACTTTGTTATAAAAGTATGAAGCTAATGGAATTTTTAAAACAAGCTCCTAAAAGTCCAAAGATGCTCAGATTCTCAGCTCAAAACTATCGTTACTGTCATCTTGATGGCCCGAAGCCTAATACTCAGGGTGAGCTGTTCTTGGGGCTGAGACAGGCCCTCCTGGGGCTGAGACCACCTGGGCCCCCTGCCCAACCTCCAAGACCCTCACTGAGCTGCCCTCCCCACTCAGACATCCTCAGTCCTGCACACGGACTCACAAAACCTGAGACAACAACACAGAGCTGTGTGCCTGACAGAAGCTGCCCTTCCACAGCCCTGGGACCAAAGAACTGAAATACAATCCTGCCAAATCCCGGATTTCTCTTCAGCTATCTTACTGGCAGATGCCCCAAGCAAAGTGACTCCAGGGGCACAAGACAGCAGACATACAGACAGACCTTTGGGGGCAGAGGTCCCCAGGAGGGCGTTTGACCTGAGATAAGGTAATGAGAAGGTGCCAGGCTGAGGGCACCACGGCTGACAGTCTGGCCACCTGGGGCTGGAAAGGAGCCCAGTGGCGATTCTTCAGGCATGCACACGCTCCTCCAGGGCCCACACACAAAGCAGGACACATCATGCAGCCCGAGGCTCGAGGAGGATCAGGAGCCACTGACCTGAGGTGGGCGCCAGGCCAGGGGGCCCCAGGCCTGTGGTGCAGAGTCCCAGCCTCTGCAGCTCCCCGCTTCCCTCTGCAGGCCAGCCTCCAGCTGCACCGCCTCTGGGGACAGTCCTGGAAAGATGCCCACAGTCTGCTGTGGCAGCTGTGAGACTGGCTATTCCCAACCCCACCTGAGGCCTCTGACCTTTCCTCAGCTGTGAGATGGGGACCATGCAGCCGCTGCCCTGGGACACTTCGAGGATGCAGTGAAATGAGATGGGGGCAGCTGAGCATAGCACCCAGGCCCCCACATTTATCCCAACACTGCCCAGGGCACCCCATTCCTCTGTACCCTTCAGGTCTCACTGTTCACTTCCTCCAGAAAACCCTGGGCCCGCGGATCAGAACAGGGTGCCACCAGCCCCTGTGAACTCCCGTCTCCCACTCGCTGGCCCTCACCCAGCCCACAGGGCAGCCACTGCCTGGTGAAGGGTCTGTGGACGCACACCGGGGAGGCCCACCAGCTCCGCTGCCACCGCAGTGAGAACGCGGGGACCCGGGAACACACCCAGGGTCCCGGCTGTCTGAGGGAGGCGGGCCATGTGCTGGGGGCACAGAGCCCTGCAGTGACCAGGGCCAGAGCAAGACAAGGACAGAGCCGCCCAGGCTGCAGCTTGGAGGCATAAGTACGACTCTGGACACAGGCTGTTTTACACACTTTATGTACCACCAACGGCAGCAGCGGCAGCATCCCACGTCTCCCTCCTCCAGGAAGACTGTGCTCAGCTCAAGCTCAGCCCTGGCCGGAATCCAGCAACTTGAGAAATGAGGGAGCTGACCCCTGATGACAACATCCCAAGCCCGCCTGAACCTCGTCCGTCACAGGACAGGGTGGGGCCAGCCTCCCCCACCCCAGCACTGGGAGCACAGGGCCGGGCTCAGAGCCTGGGCTCTGGCCACTGGGCCTGCGGGTCCCACAGCGTCATGAGCCGGTCGGCCTCCCTCCAGCCAGACAGCAGAGCCCCATGCGTGGTGGAGTAAAACGTCCGGTGTGTGGCTTCACCTGCGAACAGTACCTGGAGCTGGAAAGAAGGGGGGGTCAGCTGGGTGCCAGGCCTTGGCCGCCAGCCCCACACCTGTCCCCTGGCTACAGAAGTGATGGCAAGTGTGGCACTTTGCTGCTGCCTTAACCCAGCACCGTGATGCAGTTAGGCAAGGACCAGCTCCCGGCCGCTGCCACGGGAAGGCGCTACAACAGTGAGGATGCCTCAGAGCTGGCACACCCGGAATCTAGCGCGATCACAGAGTGGAAGACCCGTCAGGTGGTTCTGGGGAAAATCTGAACATAGAGCAAAACACCAGAGAGGGAAATTAGCAGGGAAAAGATAAAATTCTAGGGCCAGCTCAGAAGTACACCATCAACCAGAAATCCAGAAAAAGAAAAAGAAAAAGGGAACAAAAAAAAAAAAATGATGAGATAATTCAGGAGAGTCCCAGATGACTGAATACATGCCAGAAGGCAGCACGGCTGGACTCTGAGCCCCTGCATGCGGGACCTCTTCTCCTTCCAGCTTCACTGGAGCGAGGCAGCTGCCCTCACAGAAGGCCCTCGAGGACACCGGGCAACCACAGGGCAGCGTGACCATGCCGAGGCTGCCACGCTGTGAGGGAGCCCAAGCCGCTCGGAGAAGTCTCAGGCAGGCGCTCCAGCCAGCGTGCCAGCTGTGCTCAGGGCAGACGTGTGACAGAAGCAGCCTCGCGTGACCCAGCCCAGCCCTGAGTCACCCCCAGCTGAGGCCCTGGACATCATGGGCAGAAACAGCTGTCCCACGATGCCCACCTACAGAATTCAGCAGCCCAGGGAAGTGGTTGTTTCCACCAAAAAGGCGGCAGCTCAGTGCCCACAGCAAACAAGGTGTGTGCAAATAGCAGTCTTAACAAAATTACTTCATCCCACCTGGGAGGGTGGGGAGAGGCCTGAGGGCTTGGTGGGCGGAGGAGTGGAAGAAAGCTAAAACTTTATGTGCTGTGGTCAGAATTCCATCAGCGATTCCTGAGAGTGAAGCATCAAGAAGCAACTTTATCAAAAAGCACTTAGGAGGACTTCCCTGGTGGTTAAGACTGCGCTTCCAATGCAGGGGGCCCAGGTTCCATTCCTGGTCTGGGAACTAAGATCCCACATGCTGTGAGGCATGGAGGGAGAGGCACACAGAAAACTGAACAGGGAATGTTAGATGATGTGTGAATTCCAAGGGGCGGTAACAGTGCTGAATGACGTATTGTAAGACATGTCCTCGATCTTTTAGAGATGCACAGTGAAACAGCTGCAGATGAAGCAACATCGCCTGTGGGACATGCTCACTAAAGAGTGAGTCGGGGGGGCAGGGAGACGCCAGACAGGAGCAGACAGCTGTGAAGCTGGAGACAGGCACCCAAATGTTCCGCCAACCTCTGTAGCGTTCAAAGGTTTCCACAATTCAATGCTTTGTAAACAGTCAAAGTGTTAGTCACTCAGTTGTGTCTGACTCTCTGTGACCCCATGGACTGTAACCCACCAGGCTCCTCTGTCCATGGGATTCTCCAGACAAAGAATACTGGAGTGCGTAGCTTTTTCCTTCTCCAAGGGATCTTCCTGACCCAGGGACTGAACCCGTGTCTCCTGCATTGCAGGTAGATTCTTTACCACTGAGCCACCAGGGAAGCCCCTTTGTAAACAGTGCTAGAACTATAATGGAAAAGAGTCTGAGAAAGAATACATACATATATACACATGGTTGAGTCACTTCGCAGACACCTGAAACTAACACAACATTGTAAATCAACTAAACTTCACTTTTAAAAGGCGGTTTTAAAAAGGCAGTAGCTTAATGTGTTATTTAGCAATCAGAACCAGCCTGAAGTACAGCCTGGGAAGGGTCAACGGTGTGCCCCCCACCAGAAGGCTATATTTTGTTTTTATTCTATTTTGTTAGCCATCACTATACAATGCTGTGACACTTCAAACTACAGGTATGTATAATTCTGATTAAAATAACACGTTTCAAAAAGAAAATGGACTCTGAGTCGCAGGGTCCCAGCCCACTGACTGCACCGCAGCCCCAGCCTTCGTGGGGCCCGTCCTGGCCCCGGGCCCTCCGCAGGACCCTGGTGCCCTTGCCTGGCGGCATCCTCCTACCTGCGCCCCCTTGCCGTCTGAAGGGAGGGGCTGGGCCAGCCGGTCCATGTCGTCTCCAGAGCTGCCCACGGCCACATAGCTGTAGGACCCCCGGGTGTACGGGGCACTGTGCCAGCAGGACCTCAGCACACTCCTGGGCGCGGGGAGCCAGGGGTTCCCTGGGCCAAGAGACGCACATGTCAGCCAGCAGCCCGCCCACCCGTAAAGACCGAGCAGTTAACAGCGAGACCACCGCTGGGAAGCCAAGCCCAGGGAGTGTGAGCAGGGCTCCCCTCAGGAGGCCCCTGAAGCAGCGTCCTGACACGCACCGCTGCTTTCCCGAGCCTTGGCGTCTCGCCTGTAAAGCTCTGATTGAAGACATTCATGTCCATCTTGGTGGCAGATTTTTAGAAAAGAGAAGTGGGAAGT